GGCTGGCCCTGGAGAGGGCAGGACCAGGAGAGGGCAGGCCAAGGTAAGGGGAAGCCTAGGACAGGGCTGGCGCATGAGAGCAAAGGCCTACATGAATTCAGGTCCAGGTGAGAGCAGACGTAGGAGAGGGCAGAACCTGGTGAGTGCAGGCCTTGGAGAGGGCAGGCCCAGTTAAGAGCAGGCCCAGGTGAGGAGAGGCCCACGGGAGGTGACACAAAGGGGAGGGAATTCCCAGGAGAGGGCTGGCCCTGGAGAGGACTAGACCAGATGAGTGGAGGCCGAGGACAGGGCTGGCCCAGGAGACGGTATTCACAGGAGTGTGCAGGCCCAAGTGATGTCAGGTCCAGGAGAAGGAGGCTCAGGAGAGGGCAGTCCTAGGGGAGAGGGCAGCAACAGGTGAGGGCAGGCCAAGTTGAGGGCAGGCCCATGCAAGGAGAGGACCAGGGGAGGTCACGTACAGGGAGGGAATGCCCAGGAGAGAGCTGGCCCTGGAGAAGACTGGACCAGGTGAGCGGAAGCACAGGACAGGTCAGGCCCCGCTGAGGACTGTCCCAGGTGAACAGAGGCCCAGGGAAGGTCAGGCACAGCGGAGGGAATGCTCAGGGGAGGGCTGGCCCTAGAGAGGACAGTTCCAGATGAGGGGAAGCCCAGGATAGGGCTGGCCCAGGAGAGGGCAGGCGAAGATAACGGGAGGCCTAGGACAGGGCTGGCACATGAGAGCAAAGGCCCACATGAATTCAGGTCCAGGTGAGAGCAGGCACAGGAGAGGGCAGGCCCAGGAGATGGCAGGCCCAGGTGAGGGCAGGCCAAGGAAAGGGCAGGACTAGATGAGGAGAAGCCCAGGGAAGGTCAGGCACAGGGGAGGGAATGCTCAGGAGAGGGCTGGCCCTGGAGAGCATAGGACCAGGTGAGGGGAGGCCCAGGACAGGGCTGGCCCAGGAGATGGTATTCACAGGGGTGTGCAGGCCCAGGTGAGCGCAGGCCAAGGATAGGGCTAGTCCAGGAGAGCGCAGGCCAACATGCGGTCAGGTTCAGGTTAAGGCAGGGTCAAGAGATGGCTGGCACAGGAGCAGGCAGGCACAGATGTGTGCAGGCCTAGTGGATGTCAGGCACAGGGAAGGGAATGCCCAGGAGAGGGCTGGCCCAGGTGAGGAGAGGCCCAGGGGAGGTCAGGAACAGGGGAAAGAATGCCCAAGAGAGGGCTGCCCTGGAGAATACCGGACCAGGTGAGCAGAGGAACAGAACAGGGCTGGCCCAGGAGAACACAGGCCCACATGAC